AAGAACGGCCAATATCTAATTGAATAAAGTTATATTTTTTAACAAAAATTCCGAATTTGCCTTCTTATTTGAAATCGGCAATGACTTAGTTGCCAAATTAATATGAGGTGAGGTAAGTTTGTGATCAAGGAAATTGGACTTTATTTAAGCCTGAGATTATTTATCATAGCTGCGAGTAATTTATCCACTCCATAAAACTCGCTGACTGGCAACTGCATATTTGATAGTCAAACCAAAAATAAAAGCAAATATGAATTTATTTGGGAGCAGTTAATTTTAACTTTGCTTCACATTTGACAGTTTTTTCTATTGATGACACTATGCCTCAATTTTCATTTATCCGTAGAAATCGGAACAAAAATAGGACCAGATGTTTCAACATCGGGTTTTTGTTCCTGAGATTCTTAACCATGCCACGGACGGGATTTGGAAATTCTTGTCAAATTCAATTCGAAGTTTCCTGAAATTGGAATATCATTCTTAAAATCATTGATAATTTCCATTTCCTGTAAATTGAGGCAGCTTTAAATCCCTCAATCAGTAAGCATAAAAATAAGTACTTTCTCACAAGCATGGGGCGTGCAGTAGATTCACCTCCACGTAATGCATCCTGGGTAACGTTACTCATACGCCAAAAAGTCTAATAACTCCTCACTTTAAACTACCATGACCCTAATGTAAGTGGCTTTACCATTAATCTGGAACAAACGACGCTCCCTTTAAATCAACTAACTCTTTAGCTTCTTAAGGCAGCTAATTTTCTATAGTCATTTCTTTCTAAATGGAAAACGTTATTCAACCAACTCTATTGTATTCAGAATATATTTTTCTATCGGAGTACAAACCAGAACATGTAGTCATTTATCTTCGGTCCTTGTATCCTTTTTTATTATGGTATTTCGCCTTAGAACAAGACTTGTCCTCTTTTTTCAGCACAACTAGTATCATTGAATATTGTTTCGCATAGTGGTGTTTCGAATTAAGTTTCAATTTACTTCCCTCCACCCTCTCCTCCAACTCATCACTTAACTCTGTCATCACAATCGTCACTGATATGAACAGGACTTCCAATTGTGAGCGAAATTTTAGCATTATCGATCTGTTGGTCTTTCGTACCGCTTATCTACAAGAGGAATAATGCGTATGCAGCAAGCTCGTTTAATTGGAGGATTTTCCTTCAGTTAAAATTTTACGAGTTTTTCATGATTATATCCAGAATTAGAATCAAGGTTTTATCCAGGTTGGTAATTACCAGATCGATATTAATTAGCCAGATCTTATCTTTGGACTTAGATCTCTCTCCCCCCTAAAACTCCACCCTTTCATTCCCAAGCGGTTGCCTTCACATTTAAATTCACATAGTGACCTCTAATTACTCAAATTGCCTGTCAACAATAAATAATTGTCCAGGCGTAATTTTCGCTATGGCCGATTCTGCCATTTTTGTGTAGTACATTTCCTCTTTTAATGGAAAAGATACAGGTTAACTTACGCGATTTTAACTTAAGAGTACTTTAAAGTTAGCTTGAAGTGACGTGAGGCTGGCGGATATATCGACAAAATTTATTAGCTTAATAAAATTATAATATTTAATTAGAAATAAAAATCTAAGACATTGTTCTTGGCAGCGAAATAAATATTTGCAAAAGTTGCTATCTTTTAAGTTGCCTCATTTCCCACTAGGGGTTTAGGATATATTCCCAAAAGGTTCAAAGGAAGCCTCCTGCTGAATTACCTCAAAAGTATTAGTCTCTAAAATAGGCTTAAAGCTTGAGAATGTTAGTTCAAATGACAATAACTGAGGTAGAAAATTTAATCAATAATAGACTAAATTAGTAAATATACCAAGCAGTGAAATTCTCTACTAAATCAATAAACTACTTCAACTGTTGTGGCAACAAAGAATAATCTTTAAATGCGAAAAAATTTTCCCCATTGCAGCCTTCATAATAAGCGTAGCTGAACTGAACAGAGGTAGCATGATAGGACCCTATTAATCTAAGAAAAAGGAATTTCTGAGAGATGTAAGGGCGTGCCATCCATCACGTTTGAGATGAAGAGCTCGTGTCCCTTAACCAGGACAAAGAAAAAGGCTAAATAGCTGCATATTTTTCTCATATTTCAATTATGCCTACTTTTTAAGTGGAAGGAAATCTGCATAAAATTTGTTTCACGAATAACGAATGTTAACATTTTGTATTGGCTACGTGCATCCATCAGCGGGTAATAATGGTTTATTAATAGTTCGAAATGATTAAAATGAGAGAGTTAGGTAAGAATTTTCAGACTGGATAACTGTGTATTTACAATTAAATCGCTTTTTCCCTTGCTTAGGAATTTTTACCAGAGTTATTAGACATTCACATCACCTGTTAAGAACTGAGTAGCCTCCATCTATTAAACCCTGACTAAACGAGCGTTCACGCTGTCCACTCCACCACAGAATTTTGACATCAGTAATCAATTTACTAACTAGCAACAGTTCTCCTACTTAGCTTGGTATAAAATCGACATCAATTTATACGTATTTACTCTACCAACTTCTCAATCTATAACCTCTGGGGAGGGGCCAGTTTTAATTTACTCTTAACCACTGTTTGTATTTTAACATTTTCTAATCACATCGATACAGATGGTAAATCACTTAGCTCGTTTCTTGGAAGTTTTTAATTCACCAAATTGTTCCATTAAAAGCGTCAAGTTTGGCAAGACAGGCTTTACCGCTTTCTATATCATCTTTAATGCGTACTGATCGTTTGGCTCCATGATAATGGAAATAGGTGCCACGGCGCAATTTTGAGCTCCCTCAAGGAGATTCGAACGCTCCTCATGGCATCGAACAGTTTCGCATTGTGTTAGTGAAGGCACGTACTTACTTTTACAATAACAGACCCTCAAATTATTTAACATTCAATTGCTTTCAAAACAAGGCTAAACTGAAACTTAAGTCAACTATCGTCGAATTTCACCCTTCTTTCCACTCCGACAAATATTTATTTAGTTGATTTCGGGATTCACAGAGGGGAGGAAGAGACAAAGTCGAGAGTGGGAACAGAAGAGTGGTTCACAGATTTAAATGGGACAGACACAAAGGTAGGGAAAAAGGTATGGTGAGTGTTGTGGAAGTGGTGGAATATGACATGCAGTGGGGTCGTGGTAGGTTAAATTCAAAAAAAACAACAGGCGGTGGATCGCACACCCCACCCCGACAAATATATTTATCTTAAATCTGAATGATAGACTTAGAGCAAAAGTGTTTAAAGTCAAGGAATTATAAGTAGCTATTCATTCTTACCAAATGGAGTTAAGTACCTCAAGATAGAACAAAGAACACTTTCATTCCACCTCCAAACAATATGAGCGGTCTATGGCTACAAGCAACCCGAACCTCACGGCTGCATCCCAGTTAATAATGCATATACCAATCCTAATCAACTAATACAAACTAAAGAAGATGGGATGGCATCCAGTTGGTGCCAAGAGAAAAGAAAATCAATCAATTTTAATCAATAATTTATTTATTCAGCAGAAAATAAAGACAGGTAGTAAAGGATAGCAAGAAAAGGAGAAAAGTGAGACGACTTAACAATCTAATTACACATCTCAAACTACAAAATACAGCTGCTACGGCATATGCTGATTAAAGGTGTCCGGATTGAATCCTCGAAAGGCGAAAGCATTACGAGTCAAGGAATTTTGTCCGGAATCACCTACACTGGGGTTCAAGTTGGGATCTGACGATCTCCATCTCTCTGAATCCAGAGTAGGCTGCCACACCGCTGATGTCGTCGGCATGGGTTGGTTTTCAAAAATCTTTGGAGCTGTAGAAGAATAGAATGAAGTCGGTCCATAGCCCGCGGTGGTATTGTCGTATTCTCCAGTAAGGGGAATTGAAGATCGACGTGCCATTCCTGCCGAATGTTGTAAATTCGATTGAGTATGTTGAAGACCTACTGGATTATGACTGCTATACATACAGAGAATATACTCATAAGCATATTTGACACCGACTAGAAGAGCAATTTGAACGGCATATTGAAGGAGAAGAGAACCGAATCCTCGATAGAGACCCAGGAATCCTGAAGGGGACGTTGATGCTGATCTGAGAACGTCGAAAATTCCATTGAAAGAGGAGATGATTGGAACAACTGAATCACCACTATCGAGGTTATCAACTAGAGTTCGAGTTCCCTGAACACAGAGACGAACAACGATGGTTTCTAATGGATAGACGATAACATCTGCCGCAAGACAAGAGACCATGTCAGCTGACAAATCAGTGACAAAAAGTGAGCAAGTAGTTTGCAACATAGCATCCCGACGATGTGAGGTTAGTAGAGCTTGATCAGTTTGAGATGCATTTGGATTGACCTAAAAGGGCAAAGTAGCATTTAGGCAGGATAAACCAAATTACGAACAGAGCTTTGCCAAAGGCTGGAGGACAGAAAAGAACCTTCCGCAAGTGGCTTTAAGTCCCTTTTAGTCTATTAAGACTAGATATCTTATCAGAAACTAGGTAGAATCAACCAAACGAATTTAATTACATTTAGTAAATCCCCAAAGGGCAGCTTTCGATAAACTTAACAGTCTAATAAGGTTGAAAACCACAATTGGTTCAAAAGAAATTATTTACACAGGGAAGCTAGACTATCGCCAATTTCAATCAAGATCACCATCATTGTCGATCATTATGGCCCTAATGCTGATTTTATACATTCCCTGAGGTCTCTAAAACGGCTTCCTTTTTGTCCATTGATTGGGTTTTATGTAGCGCTGACAGTGATCCTAGTCTTTCTCCACATAGTATTCCAATGGATTAAGATTTAGGGAGTTCAGAAGTCAACCACTGAAACTATAGATCACATCACGTTCTAAGTACGCACATAGAAAAAAGCGATGAGTTTAAAGAAATTTCGTCTGCCCGAATCAAGAAGTGTCCTTTGGACTCCGTCAAAGCTAAGTCGTCTCCAGTTCCACCTATTGTGCTATTAGTATTCGGAAAAGAACTGTTTTTTAGTTTCGGCAAAATGTTTTCCTTTTTAATTTCCATCTCATTTACTTTCGCAACTTCCTTATTAACCCAAAAAAGTGTAATCATAGCTAATAATAATCATGATAATAAAAATAATTGCCGTCGATAATTAGCCGATCTCCCTTGCGAAATTAATCATAGCCTATTCCAGTTAAATGCTAGTCTTCTTCTGGCATTAAATTACAGATAAAATAATTGTGGGTCAGCGTAAATGGCTTGAGATTTTCAGTTCTTCAACAGAAATGAACTACTCAACCATCCTGAAGATGTCAAGGACAATGAAGCACAAGTTAGAGGCTGAGCTCCAGAGATAAGTCCAATTTTTTTTGAGAAACCATTTTTCCTATTTAACTCATCTTTCCATTGCGTAAATGTAATGCAATACCCACTCATCGTACTCATAATGCGCTCATTTTAATAATTAAAAATGCCTAATAAAATAAAAGCGATAAAAATATCAAGTATCCTTATTCGTTTGGCATTTGTACTCAATTAGTACAAATTTTCTAATACTTTTCAAAGTTTCCAGAACTTATCGGGAAGTTGAATAATTTTGATGCTGATCTTTCCGTCCATTTGGCAGAAAGACAAGGGTTAACACAATTGTAAGTTGAGGAAAGTGAATTCGAATATAAATGAATAAGACGCAGAAATTTAAATTGCCTTATTTTTACTGAGCCAACTCTAATTCACACCAACTACAGCTTATTGAACAATTATTTGTTAAGATGGTTGTGATCTTGTGACTCAAATTCATTCAGCTCTTCAAAAGATCGAGAAAGTATAATTATCTCACGTGATATTAAGTGGCTTATAGGGAAGTACACTCACCGCTTGCACAACAGACACAATGTGACGAATACAGACTGCAAAAGTTGAAACCTTCATAAATAAATAACTCCCAAACTGATCTTGAGAGAATAAAATATAGAAGTAAACGAACGTACATGCACCCGGCCTGTCCTTCTAAAACTACTGTCGATCGACTCTAAGAAAGATTCAACTAGTCCCAAACTAGTCCTTGATAGTTATTAAAATCAAACCACTTACCAACTTTATTGCCCATTGTAACATTTAGAAACTTCTAGTTACAATAAGCTTTATGGCCTCGAAAGTGTTCATTAGGGAAAATTAAGAGTGCAACCTCTAATTACTGGAGGGATAAAATCAACACCCATTGATGCAATGCGCCTAGTTATAAGGAAAACCGCAGCACGTTCCTCTCTCAAAGAGAAGGCCTTGGTTCTGTATGAGAAGCTACTGCGCATTCCCAGAGACAAATTCTTCAGCGCCTACGAAGCAAGGCCAAGATACGTATAAAAGCAAGCTGACCTAATATAAAAAGCCATAGAACTGAAAAAAAGCATTGCAAATTGCTGACAAACCGAAAAGTCTCAATCTACCCCCAAAATCCATTAGCAGACACTGATGTACAATGTTGTACCTAATTGCTTGACTATTTCAAGAAAGCAGATACTCACCTCCCCAGATCAAATGCACTCATTGGCCCTTGAGATAATCAATGTCAACTATCCTGCAGATCAAATTGAGACAATCAATGTCAACTATTCTGCAGATCAATGGCTGAAGTCTTCACTGATGGGTCATACATAGAAAACCAAGCAAAATTGGTGCAGGTGTAGTCATACATAGAAAATCAAGCAAACATTGGTGCAGGTGTCTAGAAAACCAAGCAAACATTGGTGCAGGTGTCTTTTCTGAACTATTCTCTTTCAGCGGGACACAATAGATTCGCATTTGAAGAAGTAGAGGCAATTAAGATAGCACTAGGCCAATTGTGCCACCTGGATACGAAATTCACCAAAGCAGTAATTCTTTCGGACTCACAGTCAGCAATAAATTCAATTGGAAGCAGGGAGAAACCCAAAACTGCCGAGGTATACGAATGCCAAAAAAACTGTTTCCGTTACTGAGAGAAAAAGACAAAACAGTAGTTCTACAATGGATCCCCTGGACACTAGCATTATAGGCAATAAGCCCTCTGATACACTTGCAAAGAAGGGGACTAAAACTTTGCAAGGCATAGACCGGCCAATATTTTTTTCGCATAACGAAGACCTCAATCAGGAGAGAATTCAAGACTTCAAGAAGCAACGAACTTTAAGCTCGAACAAGGGAGAAAGAGTGAACAGCGGCACTCTCCAACATAGCCGACCGGTCAGGAATCGAAACTGTCGTTGAGTTCAGACTGTTTACCGAGCACGATTGTCTGGCGAAGCATCTCCACAGAACAGGAATAAACGCTCAACCAACTTGCCCCCTATGTGATCTACAGGAGGACATAGAGGAGACCCACCTGATTCGGTGTCCAGCCCTAAAGACAATGACAGAAACGCAGAGATACTGGAAAGCCAGATGTCAACTAAAGAGCTACTGTAGACTGACCAAAAGCCTATATATACATATAGAAATTCCTTCCCTTCCCCCTTGTGAAAATCGAAGCCAACTAAAAGGCTAAGGATAAAGATCATAAGGCCTGCCAATTGAAATAATAATAGAGTTCAACCACAGTTAGAATGAAATTGACTTGATCATACATTTTTAATTAGCAACATGTTCAAATAAATTGGGCATTAGGCATAACAAACCCCCAACTTGTATCACACTCTGTCAATTCTCAAAAGAAAACTTAAGAATATGCTAGCATGACAAGGAACGAATGTCACGTCCAAAAAAAAGAGAAGCCGAATTTAAATGGCTAATTTTATTAAATTTATAATAAAGCGTTTAATGCAGCAGAAATGGTATAAAGAAATACGTTGAATAGTTCTAAGCATTATGCAAAACACCCATGGATATTTTACACTAATACAATGGAAATTTGCAGTAATCAAAAAAAACAAAAATTGTATTCATGCAATTCTAAGACAACTGGCAAACAAAGCTCAAGCCACAGGACTACTTTTCTGTGGATGACAGATTTATACAGTCGGTATCAAATCCACCAGCACCAACCTTATCAATATTCACGACTCATCTGACAGTTTTTAGGGTCATATACCATTACTAAACTCGTGAAATTTAGACGCCAAAATAACAAAAATACAGCTTTGTCTAGTCAAAAAAGACCTTTGAGATAACAGCATTAATATTTGATCTCGTTTTCCAGATCAAAGTCAACTGTAGTTTCGCTATATCCAGTGAGCACTTAGGTCCAAGTGATAGGAGCTAAATATCCGAGCGTCTCAAAAATTCATAAGGGCTATGGATCGAAGCTAGCTTGGGCGCACAAGACTTTTCAGGCTCCAATGTTGTAGAGAGGGTTAGTCAAGTCTTAATTCCACTTATAGTGGATTTACATTTATGCATAAGTTTATTTAAACCAATTCTGAGGGTAAGCATATAGGGCACTTAAAGGGGAAGGTTCTCTTCCTTTAAAAACAGAAAACGGACGGTTTAAGACAAGAATGACTAACCTCATCAAAATGTAACAAGCATCGCGATCGTGAATGAACAGAACACATCATATTAATTGCAGACACTTATCCCACTTATAGCATTCCAGGAAATTTTGCACAAGTCACAACGAAGGTGAGGATAATTAGAAGCGCCTTCATGGGGGGTTACGTTGTTTAAACGCAGAGAGAGAGAGAGATGATCTTTAATTGCTTAAGTGAATATCCCCTTTACTCTCGCGAAAAACAAAAAAAGACTGTACTCTTTTTGTTATTTAAGGCATCCATAAAGTACATCTGTCAAAATACGCATCGCCACAGATAAACACCAACAACAAAGTACTTTCAAAGAAACTTTGCGAAGCGTTTTATTAATTCGACTTGTGGGTGGAGCAATGTGCACCCCGAATATGGTCGAATAACAAGCTCTGGTTGAATCACGCTTTTCTTGACTCGATTTAAGCAAATTAGCTGACTAACCACATCAGTGGATGTGAATCCGATGATTATAGAGCCAATGACCTCTCATCTGACAGAAATGAACGGTTGATATGAAATGAATTTTGTACTACATATCAAAAGGTAACATTTGCCCCAAAATAGTTGTAATATGTATGGCTCTTTATTCACCAACTTACAATAACCTTATATACGAAGGACTTTTTCAAACACAGGTTGCAGATAACTTAAATTGATCTATAGCTACGAAAAGGCGCATCATATTTTGACACGGTAGAGAAATCTCTTACGAAGAAAAGTCTATGACATCCTACGGAGAAGAGCAAACGATAACAGTTTCGGAACTATGTGTTACCAGTCCAAACTGGGAAGAAATATCGGAATGTTTTAGCACGTAGCTTTGCAAAGCAGCCACTTAAATGTAATAGAGTTTCCGAGCAGAGCGTTCTCAGGTCTCTCTTGCATTTCAGATACTCTCTTTACACAAATTGGCCAAATATTTAGCAACATATAAATACTGATTACAGAGGTAATCAAAGTATAAAAACATTATGTTTCACAACACATCCATTCATTAGCATAAATCCATAATTAAGTATTGAATTACTTCAAAATCGTTTTGATTCATAAAATAACTAGCCAGCCACGACACAGCATTTTGCTTAAGCGTAAATATCGAAAAGAAAATAAGTATTTAATTGATAAAAGCCTTGAAAAATAACACCATTACAATTAATTCCATTGAAATTCGGATGAAGTGAAAACAAACAGGAACTCAAATGAAAATCAAAAATAAAATTCACATAAGTTTACTTTTTATCAATTAGTAGTATGTATTTTATCAACTTACGCCAGAATCAATGACTTCTGCATCCAGTTGTTCTGGTTCACGATCGCGTCTCATGTAGGCAACCACCCCAAAATGGACAAACGACCTAATGACATGATGACCCACACCCAGCAAAGTGACGGGAAAAACAAGGCGCCAAAAGGGAAGAAGGCGAGAAGTTCGGATTGGGATAGCTCGGAAATCGGCCTTGAGATTACCACCTACTGATCCCATTCTTGGTCCGGTTGGAGGAATGTTTGGCAAGAGGCGTTTTATTCCCTCTTTGAAACAGGATATAAGTGTTGTGGGCTCGGAGGCAATGTCAGACTGGAAGAAAGAAAGAGGCAAATTAACAAAGAACGACTGGGCTTAGGAATTAAATAGGATATTGTAAGAACGTGATAATAGCGGAATTGGGTTAAGGGATCTCTACCATAATACACCACTTAGACAAGGCGACTAAATATGGAACGACCAATGTATGGTGGCATGTGGTGGATTAGAAGAAGAACCAATAAGCAAAAATAGCCAAAAGGAAAGAAGTCACTTTTTCTCGATGACCACCTTTGTCTATTAAGCTTGCGGGATGATTCCTTTCGGGTGGCCAGTTGCTACAATAGCTATAAAAAGTAAGTTATTTACTTCGCCTTCTATGATTATTCGATTTCGAATCTAAGTTTTCTTTTGTGTTCAAGTGATTGAGGAAGAATAAAATTCAGTAGAATACGATTTCGGGTACAAATTTCCCCCAAAAAACAAGCGGTACGAATAATGCATCTTACGTTCTATCGTCCAGTAGATTTTGCATCGTTTACTCATCAACGAAAAATCTGAGTTGCTCTTTTACAATATTGACGATTTTCAATCCCATTTTCAAGTATGACCCATTTTACTCCTTTTATTCAGTCCACATTCGTCAAGGCCTACTGATGACAAGCTCATGTTGGAAACAGGAAAGACCAATGGGGACTTAACAGGCTTGTGAAACTCAATCGCCTGATTAAAAAAAATTGACGTGTTGGTCAAGAAACGAATTGGTAGAACATTAGAGACTCAACTAGAAGCCTCTTAGACAATCCAATAAATCAAATATTCGGTAAATAATAGCGATTACTAACTACTAAATAAGTTAACTTGGTCCATTTTTCAATCTGGCATGTTCACTGACATTTCTGTTCTACAATTACCTTATCCAAAAGACATTACATGAGAAATTTTTTTCTACGACGAATAGGAAAAAATATAGTGGATAGCAAGCATAAATTGGATTCGAATGTAGCCGAATATAACCACTATTAATAACTCACAAATGAAATGAAAGACTATTCCGACAAAACAGAAAGCAAGAAAAATACATGCCGATTAACTAACATATCCGGCCAAATAGACATTTAAATCAATATTTGATTGTTCTATTCACGCCTTATACTCCAAGTACATCATGTTATATAGAGAAATAGATAGAAAAGTGTTAGAAAGTGGGATATCTAAGCCTCTTCGAGAGATGAGCAATACACTCTGGGTGGTCTCTGACAGATTAATGTGCGGGTGCATACTCAGTATCCATTAGACAATTAGTTTAGACAGATTACCACTTCATCGGGAAACAAAAAAATAGTTTTACCGAAAAGTCTGAAATTGGGTGAACCGAAACCTAATGATATCCAGTGGGTGCAAATATAATGCCGACAGAAGTAGATCCCTATGATAAACAGTAGCTCATAGGGCACACTGCAAAAATGGGCAACGGTGAAGGTATACAAATTGTTTCAAACGAAACGAAATCGCGGATAATGAGTTGATTTCTGGAGTAAAATAAAGAATAAAATGCCGCAAAAAATATACAAAATCAAATGACATACTTGCACGAATTCAACCATACTTGCAGCATAGAATGGAGTTGCGATTATCCAGGACAATCTAAAGTGATTTGTTGTATCAGAGAGAAATAGGTACTCACATCTTAAGCAATATATGAAGAGATATCTTTGATGGACTGCTATAGCTGGTAATATCTCTAAAAGTAAAGATTATTTTAAATAAACTCAATGAAAAACCTTGGGAGAGAAAGACCTTCAGAAAGGCTACTTTCAGAAATTAATCTAATTATTTTCACTGTTAGTGCCCCACTCAAACCCTTCCAAAGGGAAATAAGACCCTAAGGAAAATTAGGATATAGAGGATATTTTACAAACCTGGCGAGAAATATATGTATGTAGGATTGGTAAAAGAGATAATGGTGTCAAGTGAAGAATTTTACTGCGGCCTCGAACCTAAAGACAGTCAATGGTGTTATCAAACTTTACTTGACATTGATGTCTAAGTACGAGGAATGGGTGCCCTATGACAACATCAGTAAAAATGCTATAAAATCGAATAAGAAATAATGAAACCCTGCCTAAGCCCATTAGCGCCATATCCCAGCATTTCCTTGACAGCTAAAACGTTAATACTGTAGGAATCTTACAAATATCAGATGAAGTAACATTTGGTTCGTTCAGCGACGCTGGATGGGATTCAGTCAAAGGGGGAATATCATTCTCTTCTAGTTCAAAAATTTCAGCATTTTTCTCCATTTCCTTTAATTTGTTAGACCACATTTTATGAAAAAAATGCAAAATTCGAAGGATAAATCTTAAAAACACAATCCCAAGGCTATTGGCTGACGCATGTATTTGGAAGTCCCTCTTATGTTGTCGCTCATTTAAAATGATCAAACTTCCTCAATGAATAAATAACTAATGATAGATCGAACTATAAATTGACAAATAATAAAAACTGGATAGAGAAACTTTGTTCACTTGTAATGAGTGGAATGAATTTTTGTTAGCGTTAGAAAATTATTATCTATGAAGTATATTGGCTTATGGTTTTGAAGAGAAATAAATTCGCTCTTCGTTAGGTTAACTTATCTTACCTTTGCCAGATCTTCTTTACGATTTGATTTCATTAATGCTCATCAAAATATTAGTTTATGAGAGAACAAATATTAGGAGCTAAGACCATTATTTTCATATTCAATTTCTAACAGACTTTATATACTAGTATCAACCGAACTTTATAAAGTTAAGTAAAGGATTGTATGTAAAGAATATTTACTTATACAAGGGATTGTTTTATTTTATCGTAGCATCTTATTTTTTCTGTTTTATGTAATTTAAACTGAAAGCCAACATTTTTTTGACATAAAATTTTCTTTGCTTCACTATGATCATAATATTTTAACGTAAAATGAACATTTAATTATCATATAATTTATTTATATCAAATGGCAGGCGTTTTGATGGTTATCATTAGCCCTTTAGCTGACTTCAGGCTTCACAGAGGAGAAGGAACATCAAATTGAAAAAAGTCGAGAGGAGGGGAACAGAAGAATGTTTCAAAGCCGAAGGTTGAAAATTTAGAAAATTTGTGATGTAGTACTGTGGAAGTGGTCGAATATGACATACAGTGGGGTCAGAGGCCAACTGCCGGTTGATAGACTTTTGCCGTATGAGAATACGTTGCCCAGGGTGCACCACGTGGAGGTAAGTCTATCCCACACCCCAGAGGAGTAACTATAATGGCCATCACAATTAGCCAATCAGATAGATAGTTTGCATTGTTTTGACCTACATCCTTCGAAGTAAAACCTCTTCATGAAATCAAAGTCGGTCATCATATTAATTGAATTGAACCGCTTGCTGTGGAACGGAACACGGCAAACCATTTTATGATTATTTTTTTTCTTGCTAACTTTCAGCAACATATTCTCTTTGTAAGCCAAGAAGGGCGCTTTTAGCGAATCTCCACCATTATGAAGCTAGGATTAACTAGTACACGAATATATTCTGATCGTTGGGGTTATTATGGAGTCAAGCACACAATAGAGATTATAAAATTGAGAGATGTTTGCATAACAAAAGTTTGCTCTCTTCCTAAACTCCTCTTGGACTAAATTGATTAGAATTTTATTACAAGGTTTCTCGAATAGCATCGATAGAACCTCATGACTGCCACTCTTCTGGAGTAGATAGTATTTTATCTGAGATAACAGCCACGACCGAACGTTCAAAATCCCAACATTCAGCGTGTAATCTATACACTCCTCAGTACTGTCGAAGTACTTATCCGTATCTGATTGACCGTAGGACCCATTTCAGTAGGTTGCCGACAATATCAATAAATGTTAAAATTATTAACTTTCTTCATTCAGACTCCTCTGTGATTTATCGTCAGGGTCTAGGATTTCATCTACAACCAAAAGGCTTCTATTTTCTATCTCTTCTCTTTGATGGCCACGTTGATTTAATTAGGAGAAAACAGACCAAACAATTCACTCAAATCGACTCGACTCAAGAATTGCAACACACAACTGCGTGGATTCACCTTTCCTTCCAATTACGTCAAAAACTTTTCAAAGATTACTACAAGTTTTTTAATTTATCTACATTAACTTTTGCCATCGATTCTCCTGCTTACTGACAGCGTCGAACGGATGATTTGAATTCACCATCCCGAAACAGCCGATTTTGTGCATTCTCCACAATAAATTGTTGTCGCCTCGTATTCGTTGAAACTGATGTGTCAATTGCAATAATTTCAGTGTCCACCAAAGATGATTAGAAGTTTGTAAATTAAACGGAGTCATCTGACTGTTTCAACAAAATAAAGTAGCAATTCAGCTGCATAGGGCGGTTGGATGGATGTGCAAGCATTTCAGATTTTACGGTTAGTGGCTTAGTGTCGGGAGCACCATATAAGCAGCAGAAGGGTCTAATCGTGGGCTGCGGCAACCTACGGCTTGTAGATAACAAATTGGGTGTGGAATTCATTTTCGCAAGCAAATTATGGCCAACCGTTGATATAAAAAATACCCATCAGACACAGTTCGGCAACAGTCCCAGAAACAAATGAATAATAAAAAATAAGTCCAAAAGTCCATTCACTTTAGAAATATAAGACATAAAAATGTGTGTAAACAGATATATATAAAATTATTTCTTCTTCAACGACTTTCTGCCAGAAGAGTGCAACGATTTTTCTGAGTGCACTTCCCCACATTCCTTAACCTAAAACAAGCAAAGAATAGGTAAGCGGATTGGGAAAGAGGCCTCAACGATGAAGAAAGTTCTGCACTAAATTTTAGTCCACAACTACTACTTTCACAGTACTCACCTCACCTTTTTTCTACCTTCGTGTCTGTCTCTTTTACATCTTTGAAGCACTCTTCTATTCCACTCGCCCCCCCCCCCC